ACTAGACTGATACTTCAACTTAAAAGAAAACCAGGCTGCTCGTAGTAAAACGAAAGTCCAATTAAAAATCATCTGAAATGGAACCGGTTTCATCAATTTGGACTTTATCGGGGATTGATTAGAATTTAAAAAAAACAATCAGACATTATAGTATTATACAAATGGTGAAAAATATCGAAATGAACAAGAACAAAAATTACAACAGCAACAAAGAGTAAAAAATGCAAATGTTGATGAGCATAGTTTTCCGCGAGTTTCGAACTAAAGATAAAGAACTCGGCAATTTTTGTCCTCGGATGCTTCATGAGGATTTTGAATTTAGATCTTGCAATTTAGATAGGGAAGGTTTTGACACTTTTGACGTGCCTCTGGGATTCAAATGTTCAAAGACTCTGATACAATCATCACGCCTGGTTTCACCAATGTAGGAGGCTTTATACTCCTTACAGGAACACTCATAAATAACTGATGAGGCCAGGTTGGTGTCAATTTGATCCTTACTCTTGAAAATTTGAGAAGTTTTCAAGCTGGTGTACTGGAAAAACCCTAGTTTTTGCCCACGACCTAATAAGTGCCCGGATTTTCGATGTTGTCTTCTGGTGGATAGGCTCGATGAAGGTTAACTTCCAAAGCACTTTTTTCTTGTCAAAGTTGACAGAAGGGTTGATGTTTTTTGTACATTTGAAAACAAAAACGGCTGATTCGCTTATACTCTTCAGAAGATTGTCACTATTCCGGTTTTTTCTCCGTAACATGTGAAAATTCTGTCAAAGCTACATTGACAGCGTGGTTATAGTAGCTAATCGTGAAAGCTCTCTGGGAAAAAGCACTACGAACCGCTTCTTTGAATCATGGATTGCAATATGATGAGAACAGTATAAAGTACCCCATTATGGTGGGTTTCACGTAACAGGACAATGACAAATTGTTACCAATTTTGGACATTTTAACGTCAAAAAACTCATCGACCCCTCAGATCTGTTCCGTTCGTGAATTTTAACTCAGGAACAAAGCTATTTAGGCTTTTCAGAAGAAAAGGGACCAAGTCCCGTTTTCAACGACATCAAAACAGTCATCAATATGATGCTGGTGAAACTCTAGTTGAACTTCAAAGCTTGATCTGTTCTTTTATTATCTCATGTGTATATCCACCCCTTAAGACAACAACAGGACTTCTCATTGCCATTCCATCTGTTTGCTTCTACGTTTCGGTATCAGTTTAAAAAAAGATTAGTCAGACAAGTCATCCCCAGAATCGTTTTCACTGTTTGAGGGCTAAGAAACACCTTCTGATGGTTTTTGAGAATATGCTCGATAATTGTCTCAACAGGGATGTTGGTAAAAAGTGATGTAACGTCAGAACTGACCATCAATTTGTTTTTAACTCTCATTCTCCACTTACTTTCATCCATTTTTCAGAAAAATTTAATAATATAATTCAGGCAAAATATTGCTGGTAAAAAATGCTTAAGCAAAGCGTCTAACTCTTTGGCGAGGCTGTGATAGTACGAATTGCTCATACTCAGAATAGATCAAACACAAGAATCTGTTGGAGTCCATAGCGTCTTCCTGGTTGCACCCCTGTGATGTGGCATCTTCAGTACAGTGATGTTTTCAAATTTTTGAGATTCTCCAAATTTCTATTAAATTTCTGGTCTTTACATATAAAAAAGTTTCTTGGGTGTGATCTTCATTTTTGCAAAATTCGTCCTGTAGGCAAGAAGTTTTAGCATTTTTTGAACATAATTGCATCCATCCATAATGACAAGATGCAATTTTATTTTAATGAAAAGTTGGGATTATGTTCAAAAAATGCTACAAAATGCTTAAAAAATGCCGAAAACACAAAGTTCGCGAAAACAGAGATCAACCCGAAGAAACAAAACAAAGTTATATTTAAAGATGAGAAATTTAATAGAACTTGGATGAATATCAAGAAAGATCTCTGAAGACTTGTAATGAAGACGCCTTATCTTAGGGGCGAAACCAACAAGACTCGAGAAACTCGCAAAAGTTTATAAAAATCAGACAGATCCTCCGTCCGATTTATTCTGTATTTGATCAACTCGTATACTATAGCATTGCCAAAGAGTTAGACAATTTTTTTAAACCTATTTTAGCAGCAAAACTCTGCTTGAAAAATACCTTTGATTTTTTTCTGAAAATTGGATAAAAGATACAGGAAAACGAGCTTTAAAACCAGCTCATTTCTGGCCAGTCATGGTCAGTTTTGATGCTACTTCGCTTTTTACCAACAATCCTGTTGAGAAAACCATCAAACATTTTCTGAAAAAAAAAACGTTTAGAAAATTTTTCTCTCAGAGCCAAAACGGTGAAATTGTTGCTTCTGGAGATGGCTTGTCTCAATGTTTCTTTTTCATTTGATGGCAAAACCTGGAAATAAATAGACGGAATGATAATAGGAGCCCCTCATGGTGTCTTTATGGGTATATTATATTTATGTGTATGTTTTCATCATATTGCAATCCAAGATACAAAGAAGCGGTCTCTAGAGCACTTTTTCAGAGAGCTTTCACATGGAGCTCTGATGACCTAGTTGTGACTGCAGCTTTCGACAGAACTTTTGAAATTTTACGAAAAAACGGGTCCCTTGACAGTCTTCTGAACAGAACAAGCGAATCATTTGTGGTGGCAAAAAGACAAAATACATTGACTTTTTGACGATTCTCACAAGAAGAATGTTTTTTGGAAGTTACCATTTATCGAGGTTATCCGTTATCTGACAACATCAAAAATCCGAGCATTTAACAGATCTTGGGCAAAAACTAGGGTTTTTCCAGTGTTCAGCAGCCTGAAAACGTCTAAAGTTTTCAAGAGTAAGGTCTAAAGTTTTCAAGAGTAAACATCAATCTAGCTTCATCAGTTTTTTATGAGTACTCCAGTAAAGACTCCTACATTGGTGAAACCAGGAGTCAATTTTGTACCAGAGTCTCTGAAGACATGATTCACAGAGGCATGTGACAAGTGTCAAAACATCCCCATGCCCCTACAAGAACTGAACTCAAATTCTTCATGTAACGCCCCAAGACAAAAAATCCTGAATACATTATCGAAACTCGCGGAAAAACTATGCTTCTTTTTTCATTTCATCATATGCGTTTCTTACACTTCGTTCCTGTTTTAAAATCGGTTCTTGGTTATTTTCAAAATTTCCATCATTTGAGCCTAATTATGATGACACTCTAAACAATGCCTGATTAAGTCGAAATTGTCAAAACCAGTTGCGTTTTGATTGCTTAATTAATTGGATATTCAAATTACTCTGATCTGGAGACTCAGCACAATATGTAGGAAGACTGCTAGTATATCACGACAAAGCCCTGAGTGTTCCTACTGCACTTAGATTTCAATTTAACAGTTTTTCATTGAAAAACTGACGAAACAGTCATAAGAAAAAAAAACTTTTTCTTTTCAATTTATCCCATCTCACTTACATGTAAACAAGACTGCTCGTTTCAGGGCAAAAACTAGAAAACCCGTCTGTATTTTAAGTTACATAAACATTTAATTGAGGCGATTGCTCGAAATTTCCAAAAAACATTTCAATTTTTTTTAATCACAACCCCTCCCCCCCCCACACGCTATTTAAATGAAAAATGAAATATTCGCATAAAAAAGTACTGAAAATACCAAAGAGCCTGCCTCAATCCAACTTGGAAGGATGTCTAAGACGAATTAAATCTTCGCTTACGCGTTAATAGCAAGAATATGTCGCGCATTAAATGTCTCAAATTGAACGAATTGCATATCTTTAAAACCCCATAACTTTACAAAAAATCATCTTAAGTGAAATATAAATTTTTTCAGTTTGAGCGTAAGACAACAATGCCTGTCGTATGACAGTTTAAAAAGTTATCGAAAATTGCTAGTTAAAAGGGCGAAATTGGTCTGGAGAAATAACCATCTCGTGAACAAACAATCTCCGTCATTTTTTTCGAAAAAAAACGAAACAACTACAAAAGAATGACCAAAATGATAGCCTCAGTTTAATTTGAAATGTCTAAAATTGATTTAATTATCGCATTATAATGCGCGGTAATCATCACATTTAAAAAATATTAACAAAGCATAAAATTTAAACTGGTAGCATCAAACTTTAAAAGTTTATGAAACTAGTAAGACCTATAAGCCTGCTTCAGTTCAGTTGAATACTATTTCAGTGCGAGATAATTCATCACCCGTAAATATATTTCCTCACACTTTCAGCATCAAAACATAAAACAAGTAGTTTAGAAACACTTTGTCCAGATTAACCAGACGGTGAATTTAATATGGTGGTCAGCCGTAGGCCTAGAGATCGATTGCGTTTGGTGTGTAGTAGGGTCTGCAGTGTAGTGTTCTTTTTAAGAAAAACGATGAATTTATTTTTGAAAATGAAAATTTTTTGAAATGTTTTTGTTGAAATTTTTTTAAATCACCCCTTACATGCCATATAAAGCATAAAGTGATAGATTTTGTTCCTAGTATTAAAGCAATCATGACAAAAAGCCTACTTCAAACAATTTGGAACGATTTCTAAGACAGATTGAATCTCCGCTTACGCGTTAAAAGCACAAAATACATCGCGCGTTAAAAGCACACAATTTATCGCGCATTAATTGTCCCAAATTGACCGTTTAGCAATCATCAAAACCCTATAGTTTTACAAATAGGATGATAAGTCGAATTTAATTTTAAATTTGAGCTCAAGTTAACAACCCTTCTGATGATTTTTGAAAATTCTGTCGAAAATTGTTGGTTAAAAAGTCGGAGTTTGCCTTCGAAAAAAAAACACCCCAAGCACAAATATTCCGTCATTTTCTTCGAAAATCGCAAAAACTTTAAAAATGCATCAGTGTCGATATTTTGATCTGAATATTTTCAGTATGAAGCATGATGCAGTAATCACCCTTGACTCTAGATAAAACTATTTTAAGAACTTTTCATATGATTATATAATCTATCATCATCTAGTTTGTAGATTAATTTAATTCCACTCCGCTACCCTATAAAACGGCAAAAACTCTGGAAAACTTTCTGATTTGTTTTTATCGGGGTATTAAAAATGGTCGGATCATTCTCAGTTATTTGAACTGCACATGGCTACATTTGTTCGGAATATAGATTAAATATCAAACTTGGTGTAAATTTACGTATAATTTTCGTGAGCATTTATATTCAAATGTTTAAGAACTTTCCATACGTTCATCTGCAAAGTTTCTGATACATTTTGAAGCCAGTTTATCTCGACAATGTTATCATCCAAACATTCAAGTTTGATCTTTTCTCTAAAATCAGGCCTGTGTCTAAAATGTAAATTGCGTAAGGCTTCTTTTCCGTTTCCATAATGTAGGTCGACTAATTTTGAAAATAAACTTTGGGCTTCAAGATGCTTCGAAGAAAGGTTCCCAGTTGTCAAATCAGTTCTCGGCATTAGGCAGCCATGAGCCCAAACAGTTTGACATGTCTGGCTGGAAAGAATGCTTTTTCCTCGGTGGAAACTTTCACGATAGAATAAACTGAATTGCGCCAAATCGTTCGATTTGTTATTTTGTTCACAATTACGAGCAACTGGAGTGTCAGAAAGAAAAAAACTCGAAAACTGAAATTTCTTATCCTCCAATTTCCACAAAGCTTGTTGCAAATTTTGGTATCGAGAAAAATTCACACCTACGATTTCATCCAGATCCTGTATTATAATGTATTTACTAACAAGAGCATTTTTGACCATGCAATAGGTAAATTGGGATCGCTGCAAGCGACTAACACTGTCGTATCCTGTATACTTTTCGGTCAGTTGCACAGAAAACGTTTCCAGGAAGCCAATATTTTTGTAAAAATCGAGCACTCTTTTTGTATCCTCATTCAATGCGAAGTTTTCTCGGCTAATTTCCCCAATCATCATTTTGTCCACACCTTTTTAAAAACAATCGAGTCTTTTCGGTTATACCCCCCCCCCCCCACAATGATGAAACAAGTAAAGGAAAGATTTTATAGCAAAATTGAATCGGTTTTGCTTAGAAATGCAAGACCGATCCCCGTGCAACGATTCAACATAGATTAATGCAAAAAAGACGAATTTAGGGCAATTAAAAACGCACTTAATCCCAAATTGATGGATTATATGTGAAGAACACCGCGAAAAAAAGGAAAGGGCCAGTTTGAGGCTAAATTAGGTAAACTGCTTCGTTTTGACAAGTCCCATGTTAATATCTTGCTTTTACACATAATATCGGTCCAATTTTGATACAACATTTTTCGTTTTAATTTTTCATCATTTAGGGGGTATAAACAAAAAGACCGGAGCAACAACCAGGAATACGTGACGAGATAAATGAATTAATTTCTGACAAAAAAAATATGTCAAAAACGCAATTTTCTTTTTCAAAAAAACCATCTGCGGTGCAAAAATTTGTTTAATCCGATTCAAAAGTTGTTTAAAAACGCTTTTTAAAACCTCCCAAAGCGTAACTTTTTTAGTTTCTGAAAGCACTTGTTTTCAAGATATTCACTTATTTCAGAGCGCACGCCGATTGAGTTCAGAGCGCATGCCAGGTGTTTACGGCCATTCGGGGAGCCAGTTAAAATCAACTTATCGCATCACCATTCTCTGATTGAGCTCTGATTGAACCTTTTATAGGCCCACCCACGTACCTATCAATCGCTGGTACTCGATATACTCTGCGAGTCGCGAAGGTCTTAACGAATCCATGTTCGTCGATATTGCAGGACTACAAAGCGTAATATGGTCTTTCTTCTCTGATGTTGGATATTGTCTTTCCACTTTTAGCTCGTTTGAGACAGCTGCATTTCCAAAAACAATCGAAACTTTTCTCGGACATTCAATATTTCTGTCGAAGAGGCAAAAAACTCCAAGTAACGACCTCTTGAATTCGTGGAAAATAAATGTTTCTGTGAATTCTCTAGAGCTCTGGCCGTCAATTAAACATCTAACTTCGCCGTCAATTTGATTCTTGCTGTCCGCTAGATTTCTACCGTTGCCGAATAAGGCAAATACCATAACAGCTTTCTTCTCCTTTATTTCCCGCTCGTCGCATAAAGCTCTCCACATAAAAACGTAGTCTTTTCTAGTTCCATTGTCGAGAAAGAACTCTTGAATCTGCATTTTTTTATTGTCACCACCAATCCCAGTCTCGACAATAAATTTTTCGTCATTTTCAAGAGCAGCTTTATTTCTATTAGTACTATTGGAAGAATTCCGGAATAGGCGGTGATCAATTTGATGAGTAAGTTGAAGTTTTGAATCCAAAATATTATGATTTATTAATAACAATAATAAAAAAGCGACTACTGAAATTTTCGCAATAAAAGTGAAAAGAGGACATCGCTTAAAACGATGCAATTTCATTATGTCGAGACTGAAGGTACTTGAGTCGACCAGAAGTTCAATGCAGTCTGCAATAAATTTTTCGGGGGTGAAAGGAGGGAAGTTTAAGAGAGGGGAGGAGGTGGAGGACCAGGGGCGGATTTAGGGGGGGGGGCGTGGGGGGCGGACGCCCCCCCCCCCCCCCTCAGGGATTTGACCCCCTGCCGACCCAAAGGGTCCCCCCTTTGATACTTTTTCAGAAATCCATTTTTGGCCGACCGACCCTAAAATTTTTCTAAAGGCGCCTTTGGCGCCAATAGATGCTATTTGTGAGGGAAGGCGCGCGCCAAAAAAAACGCATTTTTTTGTCAAAATTTTTCAAAAAGTGCCCAAAAACGGCTTTTTTGACTATTTTTTCAAAAATTTGCCTGCGGCGCACAAAATTTTGCCAAAATAAGGGCAAAACAGTGCTTTAGGAGAGCGCGAAAAATAAAAATCAATTTGTTTTGGTCGACCTAAAAAAAAAAAAAAGGTCGTCAAAATTTTGGAAAATTTTTTGAAAATCCGCCCCCCCCCCTCGAGAAAATCCTAGATCCGCCCCTGTGGAGGACATAAGAAACCAGGCAGGCTCGATGTGCTCGACCGTTTTAACATTCAGAAGCTCGTTGCAAGGAATTTATAGCATCCATTGTGGGAGGGGGAGGGCAAACAATCTTAAGGCTTTTCAAAGTGCGCTTCATAGAGCCATTTTATGATTAAGTTCAGATGAGTCTCTGGAAAAAAAACAGCGCTATATTTAGTATTCCTTTCCTAAGTAGAAAAACCCCATTTTCGGTCATAATTTTCCAAATAGTCAAAAACAGGAAAAAAAAACAAAAAGTTGAAGAAATGTGCTAAAAATTTGCCTTTAGCGAAAATATTATTGGTCAAATAGGATCGTTGCAACGTTTTCGTAGGTGCTCGGAAAATTAATTGTCCGATCGAGTGTAAAGTCGACGAGTATTTTTTGAACTACTCCCCCTTTCCGTCAGAAGTAATCCCCCTTCCCAGCCCCTAAGGAGAAACTCTATAACAGAACGTGTTAAATGCTTAATTGGAAATGATGTTACGAAAATATTCAGAAAAAGTGTGAAAATAATTAAAGCTGAAATTTAAAAAATGCGAATGCAGAAGAATTGTTCTATTTCAATAAAACTATTTCCTACCACGGCATGTGGCAACCAATTTTATTTGCACAGTGTAAAATTTATTAACGCCATCCAAAATTTCCATTTTCTAGCTTTTATCTCCAGAAATGGAATAGTTGCGGTGGTTTTGGTACTCATCGCTCATAATATTAAATAATATTTGCTTTGTAGATCTTTTCTTCGAATGAAATTTATTAACGTTCAAAAACGAGGTCATTTGGTGTCAATCGAAAAAGATCTAAGTGGACTGTCAGTTTTCTAGCTTTTATCTCTAAGTATAGAGTAGTTGCGGTGGTTTTGTTACGCTTCGGCCTCAAAAATTAAACAAAAAATGAAAAGTCATTGGTGCAAAGTCTTACTACCAGATGTGAATTCAGGATTGAGTCAAGGAAGTGGGCGTATTTTCATTAAAGTTATTATTTCTAAAATCTCAAAAATTTATTTATTGAAAGCAATTTTTCAAAACAAATTAGGATCGGACAGAAAATGCGTGTCATGAAATAGTATCAAAGGGTCCATTTTCAGAATGAGTGTCAAAGAAAAGTATCAACGGGTCCACTCTAATTCGGGTATGGTATTCTTTTAAAGCTAGTCTAATGAAAGGAGAAAAAATATGTTTTTTTTTTTCACAATGGTCTCAATAGCAACAATTAAAGCATAGTTTTTTTTCTCGGAACGGAGAAAACTTTTCGGAAAGTTCTTTGCAAAATCACACTTTGAAAGATTTGACAACTCAATTGCTCATTTTATTTTAGTTGTGATGCCAACTCTGAAAAATTATCCCGAATCAAAAAAACTGTGACAAAAATGTTCGGAACAGATCAAAACTCAAGACGCAAGAAGTTAATTTTTCAACAAAATTATTATTAGACTCATTAAAATATATGCATTAAATTTTTGTAACTCTACATTTTACCGCTAACTTCTGCAAACACAGAGTTTTCAAAATTTAGCGGCAAAAAGTAGAGTTTAAAAGTTTAATGCACATCTTTTAACGAGTTTAACAATATTTCGATTGAATCTTTGAAAGCAACACAAGGCTACTGAGTAATCCTCTCTATATATAAACACTCCATCTTTTGATTTATTTTACTTTTCCTTAATTTGACCTTCGGTATTGATTAGTTACATGTCAATCTTTGCCATGCATCGATCAGCGGTCGTTCATTCACTGCTCGTGTTAGTTTTAGAACAGACGTTTTAAATTAAACACATTTCTTAAATGTTTTATCCTTAGTTTAGTTGCCATGGATTGCACATAGTTAGTTAGAATTTTTTATTATGGCCCTGTTAAAAGAATCGATTCTGCGCGGAAGTCCATCGTTCAGGCAAATCACACCCCTGGAGCCGCCCAACTACTGGACTGATCGAGCGACCAATTTCAATTGGCGATAATAGCCAAGGAGAATCTGGATATCGACAGCCTAAGTCACCAGTGTTCCCAGAAGTCCAGATTCCCATTTTTTTAGCAAAAAACAGAAAACGAGCTGGGCTGGAACACAAGTAAATAAAATGCGCAAAGGTAGTGAACGAAGTCACCCAAGAAAAACGGACCAACGAAAAAAATTCAACGGAATGAGAAGGGCTGAAGCAGAAAAAGAGTTGCGCTCGGCCTTTTTTTTAGCACGCGGTAGGTGGAGAACGATGAGAAGTTAAGGCAGTAATTGCAACACCAGAGAAACTGAAGATGCAGAATGGATCGAGGATTCTTCATATGCAACCGGCAGTGAGACCCAACGAAAACTCCTCCCAGCAACCATCAGCCCACCGGGAGCTTTAAGTCGGGCACACAATGATACAAAAAGGCTGTTTCGATACCCAGAAGCTAACAATCATGGCAAGATTTACGACTAGCGATATGAATTTAACGTCTTTTAATGTAAATATCCACATAAAAACGGAACCGAACCTCATTATCGGCCGAAGTATTTCGTACATGAAATGTGAGAAGGCCTTTACAAAGGGCAACCTGAACATTTGATCAGCAAAGAAGATGATCCGTAAGCCTTGTAACTATAAAATAATTTTCGTGAAACTTTGTGAATCAAGAAACAAACGGCCGACTTTAAATGCTGTAAACAATAGTGTTCGTATTGAAAATTTTGCATACGTGCCGCCGGATGTTTCCTGCATCAAACACCAAGAAAGTTTTGGATTCATCAACGCTTTGAATGAGAACGGTCACAGTGACAATGACAATTGTTTTGTCCTCCGCCTAATAACATTATACGGTTAAAGCGGGCTTGAAATCCTGAAATCCTGGAGTTTAGGACTGGTCTTGGAAATGGTTTTAAGAAATACCATGCGTGCTGAATCACCAAGTCCACTGAATTTTGTCAAGCAACATGTACTGCACGAGTTAAAGTTAAGAAACGAAACCTTGAGAATTAGATAAAAGACCCAAAACGTGTATTCACCCAAAACAAAACAAAAAACTATTTGAGAAAAGACATCATTTTTTTATCACGAGTGAACATGAAAGAAGCATCCTGTTGAAAGATAATTTTTCAAAATTTGGGATAGAAATCAAGCAAAAGAAAAAACCTCGACCGATCTCGATCTGTTCATTTAGTCGTCCAATAGAGAAGAGTAAATTGCATAACTTACCTTTTTGAACAGGCAAAATTTTCAAGAATTCAAACCCCTCATTAACAGAATCGGCAAAATATCTAACGATTGAAAGGAAATTAATTCTTTTCCACTCGTCTCTTAAACAAATTTAAACAAAAAGTAGAAAAGTCCCATTACAACTTTTATTAACAATGAATTGAGAGTTCAAAAAATGAAGACCGAGGGTCATATTGGAAATATTCAAAAAAAACCGACGAAGATCATTTTTCTAACCTGAAAGTTATTACTAGAAAGAAAGAGGGCTCGATTAATTTGGCTTTAGATTCGAAATTATTAACTGATTAAACTTTTAAGATTATATACCTAATGCCAAAAATCCATGAAAGCTTTAAAGTTATCAAACCAACCAACACATTGGGCAGGTTTGGTTCAACAACTTATATCTCTAGAATGCCTAGAATCTCTTATATCTGTGACGCAATTAGTAAACAGTGTAAATTTAGCGTTGTTGGGGCAAGTTCATAAAGACGTGCCATTTTTTCACCGGAATTTATGAACTTGGCAATATGCCAAAAGACTTTTGAAGATTCATAGACTTAATTTTAAAAGGAATCTCGTTCACAAAGACGACATAATTATCGCTTCAAAGCAACTCTGGGAAAACACAGAACAATCGTAACTCCAATTTTTGCAATTCTGGACTAAAAAATTATGGAAGTGAAAGGGGGAAAACATTCATTTTTTAAAGAGAAGCAGATTGGCATGGATTCAAAATTTAGGAAGCGGGAGTACAACCATTGATCGGCTAAACCGACGCGATAGTAGATTTCCTCTACCTAGAAAATAACGCAGATTTTCTTTCACTTTTGGTTCAATAAATCAATACTTCAAAGTCGTACCAAGTTTGTCATTTCTTAATTCGCCATTCTGCTCGCTTAAAAAATAAATTGGTGTACCATTGGGAAAGCAACAACTCAATTGCAATCAAAAAGCTGAAAGTTAATTTAAAAACATTACGGAGAAAAGCCATGTTGACATAAAATTAAAGTCCAATCAGAAAGGGATGCTTCAAATAACAGATTTTGAGCTACGCTTAAACTGTTCCAAGTGGACAAAGGGAAAACATTGTTTGAGATGTTTAAAAAAATTAATAAAAAAAATTAGGGTAAGTTATCAAACGGTTAGGTTACTTATTATGTAACAAACAAATCCTTTCTTAAGACCGTCAGTTGCTATAACTTAAAATGTAAAAAGCAATATCCCATCATTTCCTCCATTTCCATGCCAGTAATGACAATTTCAAGCAATCTTATCGGTCGCGAGTTGAAGGCGAGTAGAATAACTTCCTTTATTCTCGAATCGTTGCTGCTATTACTACGTGTTTTGCTCAGTCCCTCAAGATTTGTAACATTTCAAACAACAGATTAACAGATTTAAAAATAGTTCTTTAAACTGTTTTTTTTTGATAAAGCGAAACTTGAATTTCAAACATATTTTTCTCATAAAAAGTTGCCGTATATTTTATAATGTTGAACCAAAACTCAATTGCTTCCGAAAGAAAGACCACAGGTTGGGTATACTTCGCACAAACTACTAAACTTCTGGTAATTTTCAGAGGAGCAGAACTTTTTTTCTGTAAGTTAAAGACGACTTTCGATCTTCGGATCATGCCACATTAGTGAAGCGTTATAGAGCAAACTTAATATCATCAACCCCATCCCTATTCCCCGAAAACCAATGTTCACGGAAACTACTTCAAACTATGATTGAACACAAAAGAATCATTTGGGACATAATTTCTTCAATCGGAAACGGCCGAACGATGGGAATTTATAGTTCCTTCTTGAAGAACTACGTGAAAGACCTCCATTTCACGGACGACTTACTTTTCATGGACATTATGGTACTCATATCGGCAGCTGTAGGGGAAGCGTTCAGTTTAATGTTTCCAGAGACGCATTCCGAGAAGAATCTCAAAGTTATTTTGGGAACCGAACACACTTATTTATCATTCGCCAACCATGGAAAGAAAATAAGCTTCGCCGGACATTTGGAAGCTTTTTAACGTTTTTTTTATGCATTGAACGTTTCACATAAGTCTTTTTCATCAAATTGGTCAACAGTATAACTTCTGTTTCCGTTATCTTATTTTTAAACGATCATTGCCATCTTCATGGATTTCCTAGAAAAACTAGAGTCGACAATTGGTGAAGCTTTCTATCTCACAATTTCAAATTATTTTGAGAAGATTTCAAAATTGAAACAATCTACAGTACAGTGGGAGATTATACATTAAATGATTTTATGGAAAGACATGTATACAAAGTTAAAGCTAAATTTTTAGCCATATCGTACAAATTAGGTCGTTGATCAATAAATTATGGGATTTTCAACAGAAGGAAACAACCTTACAAGGATTGCACTCCCTTTGAAAAAAAAAAACGTTATTCGGACCGCTAACACACAATGGAAAAACCTGATTTCTTTTGAATACCATTTAAACGAAGAAAAATCAATCCTATCCGACAAAAAGGCAGAAACTAGCAGCTGCACAACCGGGGCAGAAGACAGCTATTTATGCGCGGACGCGGAATCTCCAACCGATTTCGAAAACAACTGCCCGTTGGTAACAACCACCTTAAAAACCCCACCTCGCCCAGCCAAAAATCTTCACTCACCGCAGGTTTCCAAAGAAGATCGTCCCAGGAGGTTTTTTTTACAAAAAGGCTCATAATCAGACAAAACAGGGAACATGGTTTTAAACTCATAAAATTTCCATTATCGACTCTTTCGAAGATATGGTGACGCTTGAGAACGGTAACATCTTACGATAATCCGACACAAGGTTTGAGGGAAAAGACTCTCTAGTCCTTTGCATATTCTTATAACATCGGCATCCATTGGTCAAAATCTTAACGTTTCTTCTAATTTAACAGGAACACGGAAACTTTACCCCCGAAGAAAACTTTAGCGATCTCTTCAGATTTGATGACTCCACGCCCAATCAGAATGGCCACAACATCGAACTCTATCCAGATTCCGACCGAAACCACCTTCATTCTGGAAACACCTCAGAACACTTCAGGTTCCTCTTCTTCGCTAAATCATGACTCTTGGTATGGGTCCATCAAGGATTATTTCGATGATTAATTTGGATTATTTCAAGGATTATTATCAAGGATTATTTCGGAACAAAAATGCTTCCATTTGTCACAACTTGGACATATCTTTGAATTCTAATATCGATTTGAATGTTACAGGGGCCGACAGATTGACTCAAGGTGTTGCAG